CCTTTCTCTGACATGGCTAAACCCACAGAGGCCAAGTTGCCCTTTCCCTGACATGGCTAAACCCACAGAGGCAGAATTGGCCTTCCCCTGACATAGCTAAACCTACAGAGGCCATAGAGGCCATGTTGAACAATGTTTGATATAGTTTTGTGGCACTGTACCTCAACATTGATTCCTTCCAGGTAGTTGTCATTGACAGGTAACCATGTTTCATTGGTTGTACTGAATCCAGCACTTGGGGGGTCAGGTGTCCATTGCATTGGGGAACGTTCTGGGTCACGTGTGTATTCCTTCCAACAACACTGTCAACAAGATATTATACGTGTTTTATGTGGCATGTTGTGTCATAATAACAAATCCATGTTTCCCATTCAATGATTAGTTATATACAGCCGTAAACATAAAAAATTAAAATGACAATCAGAGATGGTTGCATAATGACAGTTTATCTTATTTTGAATGCTAAAAGTATGGGACAAAATTAAAACAAATTGAGGCAATATATGCAGTCACTAAGTGCTCACTAATTAATCATGTATCTGGTAAATTACCGGATTACGCTTTGCTTCAGGGTCACGTGTATCATTATAAGACACGTAGATATTCTCCATCCCTATCTCTTCACCATAATACGTGGTTGGTGTGCCCGGTAACGTGAGTAATAACACATTCATACATCGCTTATATAAAAATCCTATACGGTCAGCTATTCTCCAGTTGTCATGGTTACCCAGCTGCAAAAAACATTTCCAATATGTAATTGTGCTGACACAACTAAGACCTAAAATGAGGCAGTGAAGTGATTGGTTTCTGTGAAGTATCTGACGGCACGCAAATGTTGTAGATCTCATCACTTTGTCAATATAAGACGAAATAACAATATTGGCCTGCACTCATTTAGGTAGTGTGCACACTATTCAGAACCATAATTTTTTATGACACTTTAAGTGTATTACGGCACACTATTTTCATTACAACACACCATGTGTATTACGACACACTATTTTCATTACGACACACCATGTGTATTACGACACACTACGTACATTACAACACACCATGTGTATTACGACACACTACGTACATTACAACACACCATGTGTATTACGACACACTACGTACATTACAACACACCATGTGTATTACGACACACTATTTTCATTACGACACACCATGTGTATTACGACACACTACGTACATTACATCACACCATGTGTATTACGACACACTACGTACATTACAACACACCATGTGTATTACGACACACTACGTACATTACAACACACCATGTGTATTACGACACACTACGTACATTACAACACACCATGTGTATTACGACACACTATTTTCATTACGACACACTACGTACATTACATCACACCATGTGTATTACGACACACTACGTACAATACAACACACCATGTGTATTACGACACACTACGTACATTACAACACACCATGTGTATTACAACACACTACGTACATTACAACACACCATGTGTATTACGACACACTACGTACATTACAACACACCATGTGTATTACGACACAATGTACATTACAACACACCATGTGTATTACGACACACTACATACATTACAACACACCATGTGTATTACGACACACTACGTACATTACAACACACCATGTGTATTACGACACAACGTACATTACAACACACCATGTGTATTACCACACACTACGTACATTACAACACACCATGTGTATTACCACACACTACGTACATTACAACACACCATGTGTATTACC